GCTCTATCGAGCCGAATCAATCTAGGTCAGTTAATAACATGTTAGAATTTGATTCAATTATTCAATAACGGGTTCGAAAGAAATTGGTTTAAGTTTTTCCATTTGATCGATCAAGTCCTAATCTTTCTCCATTGGGATATGGGATGTGGGTTCAATTTAAGTTCCTATTTATCATGTTTAGGTGCTCAATATGGTGCAATTCATATGCATAAGTTTGAAATCTAAGTTGGTGTCAAATTAACTTTCAATCATCACTTACGCATGTTAATTTAGGTCAAACCATAATTAAAAAAAGTCTAAATAGTTAAGATCTATTTGGTTCACCTTATTTTTGCTTATTTATTAATCTGATATGAACTTTTTTTTTTTGGAAAATTATTCTATGTAACTTTGTGTTTTGTAATCCTATCTTTTGCCCTACTTTCTAAGGTAACCCTAAACTTATAAAACATTATTAAATTGGATGAATAAGGTAACTCTAATAACAATTTTCATTTTTTTTCTATTTAATCTCCCTAGTTGAACACATTCTCATCTTTATTCTCTCCCTGGATCCAAGGAACACACTCTCTCACCACCTCCTTCTTTTTACATTTAAAAAAAAAACCCAACTTTAAAGTTTAAACCTAATATTAAGAGCTTGTTTGGCATTATTTTTTGCTTTCAGTTTTCTTTTTTTTAAAAAAAAAAACAAAAAACCAAAAACAAGAAACAAGAAAAAGGACTTTCCACTTTTTTGTTGTAAGTTTTCAAAATTATCACGACTTTAACAAGTTTAACTAATTTTTTTCTTCAAAAAAAAAAAGTTTAACTAATTTTTGATTCATTATATGACATTATTTATTATTTATTTATACATGTTCTTTTGCTTCTTGATGTTGAACTATTGGTCTTTCGGACCTTCTGGCAGGTTTGCTCTTCTTGTAACTGATGATTGTTGAAGTTCAGGGGTATAGACTGAAAAAATGGCAGCAAAAACTAATTACTTTGATAAGTACTTGTTCCCTTTGCAGGATGTTAGCTTACCTTCAGTTCTTTTTAGTTTGAACTAAACCTGCTTTTAATTTCTTGTTTTATTTCTTTTTTTTTAAACAGATTTATTCTTGGATAGCGAGTTGGTGGATGAGAAATTTTCATGTAGAAAAAAAAACAAAAAAAGAAAACCACAGCGATGCCAAACATACCTTAAAAGGGTGTTTGTTTGTAGGGATTGTAGGTAGGATAAGGATTAATTATGCCTTCTATCGTATAATCCCTTGTTTGTTTAATGGGAATTGTTCTATCCCATATGAAAGGGATAGGGATAAAAAAAAATAGAGTTATCCCTCTATTTTTGTATCAAGGGGGCAGGTATAAGATGTAGGGATTAATTTTGAAACATAAAAGACAGTTTTACCCTTAATGAAAGGGAAGGAAGAGGGGAGAGTAGAAATGTTAGTAAGGATAGTTATGTAACTTTACTACTTATCCCAATTTAATTCCCAAATCTTACCAGACAATGGATAGCATAATTTTAATCCTTATCCCACCTATTAATTTCTTATCCTCATTATCCCTATCCCTGTTTCCAAATGCCCTGTAAGTGATTTTTCTTCTTTTCTTTTCAGTTTAACCATTTTAATTTGATAATTATTCACGATGTTATCTTTTCCATTCAATTTAATGAGTTTTTGCAAGTTTAGGGTTACATAAGAAAAACACGTAAAACATAAAGGTAGGTTACATGATATGATATTTTTTTTATCTAATTTAATCTGAACTTATTTTTCTAATCTAAGCTGAATGTCTTATTTGACTCAACTTTGATCTTATATGTACGTAAATCTATAATGAAAAAAATATATTAAGTGAGGTCTTGTTAAATTCGTAATAAAGTGTATTTTATTAATATGTAATTTTTATTAATTTTGTATCACCAAAGTTAATAGAATTAGCAATAAAAAATGTACACTAAATAATAAAGTATGTCAAAACTTTTAATTTATTTTTAATATTCGAAATAAGTAAAAATAAGGTGAACTAAACATGACTTTTTTTAACTTATAGGAAAACATAACCTTACTTATTATTATTATATTATATTTTTTTTAATTTATTTTTGTAAAAGAAAAAGGGACACCAATATTTCATGGTCCGTAACTTCTGTTTTGCAAAAGGATTGAAAATTTTTATATACACAGGGGGTACATAATGCACCCAAGATTATTATTATTATTATTATTATTATTATTATTATTATTATTATTATTATTATTATTATTATTATTATTGTTGTTGTTGTTGTTTTTTCTCCTTATTTAATGATTAAATGAACAATAATCATCCTTTTAATTAAGCACAAAAAAAAAACCCCTTAAGTACACCTAGGGGTGAGCAAACCGGATACTTGGTCAAAATTTTAGGATCCGGACCCGGAATTGGTTAGGATCGGGTCTTAAAATTCAGAATTGGAATTGGAACCACTTCAACTGGGTTCTAAAAATTATTAATTGGAATTAAAACCGTCGGGTATCGGTTTCGTTTCCGAGTACCCACTTATGAACATAATTGTTAAAATTTAATGCAAATTATAATAATTTTTTTTATCCATTTTCATTTTTAGCATTTAATACTTATATTTATATACGGATGAAGCTATTTTATTTATGTTATATATTAAGAATGTACCCCCTCAGTGTTTTTTTAAATGTTACACTTCCTATTTCCGGCCGTGTTTTTTTAAGTGTTACACTTCCTTTTTTTGGCAAAAATTTAAATGAAAATATTATATCTCTCTCCTCTCATGGTCCCCATCCATCTAAATTCTTGGGTGGACCTGGTCCACAATAAATAGTGGACCTTATGGTCTCACGTGCCAATTGCCACAAAACACAACCCAGCCCACTGACTTGTTTCACAAGCTTACTAACATCTCTTCTGCCACAACCTACTAACTTCCTTCCCAAGCCTTATTTTTGACGCCATTAACAACTATCCTAGAGCTCGAATTTTTATCTCTCTCCTTCTAATTTTACTCAATTCTAGGGTTTATTTTCTGCCTAAGCAATCAATTTCTTCAAAATTCATGGAGAATCCTTCTATACAATCAATTGAAATAGATCTAAATCGAAGTGTACAGGACACTATAGAAAACTTCGATATTAATGTCATCAATTTCGATCTGAACGAAGCTGTTGAAGATGAAGAACAAACTATTATTGAAGCAGAGGATGAGAATAAAGTTCATGAGGAAAATCAACCTCTAATGCAAGCTCAAGGTATTATACGATATATTTATATGCAATTCATATTAGAATTTGATAATGTGAATTAAGCGATTATGCAATTGTTTGATTGGAAAATTAAATTAGGCATTTAGCTATTAATTTGATAATGTGAATTAGGCGATTATGCAATTGTGAATTATGCGATTATGCGTAATTTATGTTGATTGAAAAATAAGCGATTATGCGTAATTTATGTTGATTGAATTATGCGTAATTGTGAATTAAGCGATTATGTAATTGTGAATTAAGCGATTATGCATAATTAAGCCACTTTTAAGTAACATAGTTGCCTTTAGTGATAGTATAGTGATATATTTTTTAAAATAAATACATGGTACTTATATGATGCTTGTTAAAGCTTTTCTGACATGCAAAGCCACTTTTAAGTAACATAGTTGCCTTTAGTGATAGTATAGTGATCTATTTTTTAAAATAACAGGTGAAAGTAATAACGATGAGATTAGTGGTTGGTTAGTAGGAAAAACTCGAGCAACACTTGCAGAAATACATGAATTGTATTGTCAACATGCTGTTGCAGTTGGTTTTAGTGTTAGAAAAGCAAAACAAACAAGCAAAATTGGAACTAAAGATATCATCACCAAAAAGTTCTTTGTATGTTCTGCAGCTGGATTAAGAAATTCTGGTAAAAAGAAGGAAAAATTGCAGAAGAACTCTTGACAGAGGAAAGTTCTTCAGTTAAAAAAAAAAACCAAGACAAAGTAGGAGAGTTCCAATAACAAGGACAAACTGTAATGCTTTGATAATAGCAAAATTGAATGAGGAGGGGAAATTTGAGATAGTTCAGCATGTGTTGGTGCACAATCATCCACTCACTAGACCACAATGGAACCATTTCCACCGTTTAGAGCGTGCAATGACTGGAATTAAAGGGCAAGTGATTGAGGCCATGCAAGAATCTAGACTAAGACCTATGGAATCCTTTAATTACATGTTAAATGAAGCTGGAGGAGAAGATTCTATTGGTCATACAGTGAAAGGCCACATGAATTATTGTTATAAACTGAAAATAAAGGCCATTGAAGGAGGAGATTCTCAAGTAGTTTGTGACAAATTACAGGAAGCTTATTCTGAGGACCCTAACTTCTTTTTCAGAGTAAGGTTGGATTCAGATGGAAGGGTTTGTAACTTGTTTTGGAGGGATTCCATGATGCTTGAAGATTACAAAATATATAGGGATGTCACTGTATTTGACACCACATATAGGACGAATCGTTACAACCTCATCTGAGCACCCTTTGTAGGAATAAACAACCACTGGAAGAACACTATGTTTGCTTGTTCTTTTATTGGTGATGAGACCACATATTCATTTGTAAGGCTATTTGAGACCTTCAAAAAGGCAATGGGTGGTAAATGTCCTGTCTCACTGTTTACAGACCAAGATGCAGCCATGGCAACAACAATACCAAAGGTAATTTCTAATTTTGAAGGAACTTTTTGAATACCACTACATCTAAATATGTTTGTACTAAAATTATATTTAGTTACCTCTATTTTAAATGCAGTAAACATTTTTGAAACTATAGTAACTGTATAAAAATGTGCAGGTATTTCCAAATACTAGACATAGATTATGTTTATGGCACTTGATTCAAAATGCTGTAACATACAAGATTTGGAGTTTTGAAGAGTGATGACACATTCAAAGCTGATTTCATGAAATGCTTGAGTGGTTGAATTACCAAAGCTCATTTTGAAGTATGTTGGGATTCAATGACGACAAAGTACAAACTGAAAAACAATATTTGGTTCAAAAGGTTATACTCACTAAAGCACAAGTGGTCAACAGCTCTAAGTAAGGACTTTTTCTTCGCGGGAATCTTGTCATCACAGAGAAGTGAGAGCACAAATCATGCAGTGGGATTCAAAGCAAACAAGAAAACAAGTTTGACAGAATTCTACAACATATTTCAGAAGACAGTGAAGACTTGGAGAAGGAATGAGGATTTTTATGAGTTCAATAGCATAAAATCAATTCCTACTTCAAGCTATCCAATGTCTGCCTTACTAAAACATGTTGCTGAGGTTAATACACATACATTATTCAGGGACTTTGAAGAAGAATTCAACCTAGCCATTGGATCTCAAACTAAACTTCTATTCATTAATGGAGGCAAAATGGTTTACCAAGTGTACATTGAAGGCAGAGATGGCACAACTCAAGAAGTAACTTATGCTCCAATTAACCAAACAATTCAATGTCCATGCAAGAATTTTGAAGAGTCGGGTTGGTTATGCTTTCATAGTCTTAGAATCTTACACATGCATTCTGTTGAAAAAATCCCAAAGCAATACATATCTTTCAGGTGGACTAAAATGGCTAAGGATAAAGTTTGGGAAAGCATGGAGGCAGAGCAAAGGATGAAGGGGGCATTAAACAGCTTCAGACCCTGGCGGCTACACATGGTGAGGAAGTATTATAGTTTAATCCTTAAGAGCCACAAGTTTGAACAAGCAAGGAAAGTCTTAGAAGAAAGCTTTGCAAAAGATTTAAGTGCAATTGATGAGATTATTTCTGTTATGAAGTCAACTGACAACCATTCTGAGAATACTACAGGTGTAGAAGAGAATTCAGAAGCAACTTCATCTAGTGTGGTTCAAGTACTAGACCCAGCTCGTGCAAAAACTAAAGGAGGCCAATCAAATAAAAAGATTCCAGGAATTTATGGCTACATGAAAAAGGGGAAGAGGAGGAAGCATAGAGAATTTGGTGCCAAAACACCAAATATTAATAATAAGTATATGCTTTAATAGTCTGAAGACATCAAATTTTATCTTAAGAACACCATATTTTATCATAGTAACCTGTATTGTTACATGGTTACCTTTTATTTATAATTTCATTCTTGGAAACTTTATATCTTTTAAGTACTTAAATTATATAGTGTCTTTTATGATTGACATAATGTCTTTTTTATGATATAGTGTCTTTTATGATTGACATAGTGTCCTTTGTTATCATATAGTGTGTTTTTAATTTGATCTTAATTGTACTTAATCCTTTTCAAACAAACAAGGAATAAAGCACATGAGTACTATAATACCTTATACCCAAAGCCTCCTTCTCTAAACATGTTGTTAATTGGCAGTTTGTTGTCCTACACGGAAGGCTCCTTTTAGTTGTTAAACCTATCTTGTTTCAATGTTTCCTGTGATCAACAGATAAGAAATCAAGAAAATGAAATGCTAAAATCTTATAACTAACTACTGATTATTATGATATAGTCTCTTTTATGATTAACATAGTAACCTTTAATTTGGAGATATATACTTCTTGGAATAGTAACCTTTTTTTAAAATATAGCGATCTTTATTTTAAAATAGTAATCTTTATTTAATACCCTTGTATTGTCACTTTATTACCATTAATTAACATAGTCCATAATTTTGACATAGTCACCTTTATATTTAGAACAGTAACCTTATTAATAAAATAGTGACTTTATTTTAACATATAGTGACCTATGATAATTAACATTAATTTAAAACATAGTTCTTAATTTTGACACTATAAAATATTGAAAACGAAGTGGCCTTTTTTTTTTTACCAAACAAAGACCTTATAAATAATATAGTGACTTTATTTTAACATATAGCTAGTGACCTATGATAACTACCATTAATTTAAAACATCGTCTTTAATTTTGACACTATAAAATAATGAAAACGAAGTGACCTTTTCACCAAACAAAGACCTTATAAATAATATAGTGACTTTATTTTAACATACAGTGACCTAAGATAACAGAGAACTTTAATAATTGAATTAAACAAACAATATACCATTTTCATAAAATATTGGCAAAAGCTTGTTTACACAAAATGAATATTTTTCCAATCTTCATTCAATAACCTACACAAAAGTTGAATGAATACTAATTAGCTATACAATCTTCAAAGTACTTTGCTTAGTTTCAGAAAATTATGATCACAACTAAGTTTAAAAATCAGTTACACAATGTTCTGACATCTTAAGCCTTTCCTTTCTTCTTCTTGTCTATAGTCAACTTCTTCTTATTCTTCCTCTGCTTAATCTCTTTCTTCCTTCTTTCTTCAACCTCTTTTGAAACACGCTGCCTATCAGGTTTGAATTCAGCCACCTTACCAATTATATTTGATCTAGCTTCATTCATATCAAATAACACTAAAGATGCAGCAATTTGAATCCGGAAAATCTTCCTATTTGAAGCCTACAAAAGTAAATAATCAATATAAGATATTGTGATATTACTTAAAAGAAATAAAACAAATAATTTAAAAGGGATAGAATCATAACTGTTTTTAAAATTTCACATTTAAACTCATCAGCTCCATTGAATAAAAGCGTACTCATTATAGTATAAACACCAGAATCTGAATTATCTTTGCTTGATCTCCAATTCAAAGTAGGAAACTCCAAAGCATAGTCAACCATAGCTCCAAATTGAGTAAGCTTTTGATCAAAGAAGGTACTGATCATATTACACTAGCAAAAAAGCATATAATCAAATCACAATCACATTAAATGATCTATTAAGAGTCATTATAACAACCATGCTGCAACTTTATGATACAATCTATTCGACTTTTGTCTCAGTTACAACTATAAAAATGACACTTCACAAACTCACAATGCTAGTTTCACATGTAAACTAGTTTAAAATTTGTCCAAATCCCAATTCCTAAAACTCACAATCAAAACCTTTAGACAAGAAAATAGTGAGAATATGGAAGAGTGAGAAAGTAATACCAAGAGACTAGATAACTTTTTCAAGAAGTTACGACCATCCTCATCATAATTAAGATTATCAATATAATAAACTGAATTTTTCCTTCAGTCAAATTCACCACAAATAAGCAATAGTGATTGCCACAAAGACAAGGTGAAAATATCTGCAATAATGATACCACAACTAGTAATAAAAAAAACACATATAGATTCCATTTTTGATATTATAGTGACTCCTTTTAAAAATATACTACTAATTTCCAGCCACTCTGAGGTCTAGGTTATATGTTGTATTGCGCCATTGGTGATTTTATTGCTTCCGTATTACAACAATCATCAGTTTCAAAAAAATACATTAGCAACCATGTTCAATAATGAACATTATTCTGCCACTTAGTCAAGGAAATTAAGCAATTTTGTTCTTGTTGCTGTGAAACCTGATCTAAAGGATGCACTATATGACATAAATATACCCTCTCTAGATCATGCCTTGCCAAACTAATTTTAACTATTACACCTCCAACTCTTAAGCTTACTGCCATGTAGGCCCCTTTTAGAGCCTTTGACCTACTCCACAAGGCCAGGCTACACGGAAAATGAAAGCCCCTTCCAGCTACACTCCTTTTTATATTGTTTATGCTGAACTGATACAGTTAAAAACTTACAAGATCTGGCCCTAACTTGCTATATTCTCTGTGGATTGAAAACTGGACTACTCAGTAAGTAGTTCTTATTATTAATGATATCACTAATCTTTTCAGTTATAATCTAGACTTTCTAAGAGTATTTTACAATAGGCACTCTAATTTAAATAAAGGTATCTACAACATAAAAAAAGGGAACAATATTTTTCAAAGCATAAAAAACAGAAAGTATTACCAGCTCCACTTCTAACAAATCAAAATTATTGCAAGCTATTTTCATCCACTCCACCAATTCTTGATAAACATTGTCCACTAGTTGTGAATTTTCATCACTGCCGGCAGCTTCTACTATTGTAACCTTCATAATGTTTAAACAAATAAAAAAATAAGTGAAAAGTATAAGCATGTATAAACATTAAAATAATTAAACAACTCACACTAATTGAAGAACCAAAGTACAATTTTCGAGGTCCATCCTTAAGACATTTCTGATTTTCATTGAGAAGCAATGCCCAGCAGTCCAAAATACTACTGCTCATGATTTCAGAAGGCTCTCCTAATGTGTAGAAGTCTTGCCTTTGAATCAAATATGATTTTCGTGAAAAAAAATACCAACAGTTCACTGTGTCAAAGAGTATAAAATAAGAATTAAAAAGGTGTTTCATAAATAAATAAATAAGAGAAAATCAATGTAATCAAACAAAAGATTACTTACTTAGGAGCAAAACAAGAATCATTGATAATGCAATAGTCAATAATCTCTAGGACTAATGGATCCAATAGCTTCATTTCCTTGTTATTTGACTTCAAAAAGTGTGAAATAACTATAAGCTTTTCATCAGATTTCCAATTTAAAGAAATCGAACACCTGGACCCTCCATTTGTAAGAATATTTTCAAAACCAAACACAGGCAAAGTGCCTCTAATTTCCTCCCTCCCGTCATTTGTTTTGTTGTGGTCAAATGTAGAAACTTGATCCAACACCTCGGGCATTTTTGTCACCCAAATAGCAAGTTCAGAGTTCTCATCAATCACAGATTTAACTTGAGGATCCAAAAAAAACTGATCATCCTGAGACACATTAATACCAGGAGCATTGTTGGTCTCATTGCGGCGTGAAAGAAGAATCTGTTTTATCTTGCCATTGTAAAAACAAGAAATCACATTCATATCTCTTTTCATGAACAAATATTGTTCATGAACGGGCTGCAAAGACATTAAAAAATCATGTATAAATATTTAAATAATATCCAATAACTAAAAAAAAAAAAAAGAATAAAAGTCAGCTACTCCTTACATCAATAACAGCCGAATGGATCACTTGCTCTGACATCGAACCTAGTGGGAGAATGAACTTTAATGTACCAGGTACATCATTACCCCCTGACATTATCAACATTCCACATACTTCCCCTTGTAGTACCCACATGAGCATCCTGAAACTTCAGCTTACCACTAACCACTAACAGGATACACATCATAGAGTAAAATCCCACACCCAAAACTTTTCGACAATTTTTCCTTCTTAATTCTGTCCCTAATCAACTCATCATTCCAATGTTGAATTAAGGTACTTAATTCAACATTCCTAAATTTCAACCTATGAAAGTAAATAATCTCCAACATCAAAATACAACCACAACAGTTCTGAATTTCTCCTTTTTTGGTAACTTTTAACACCTTCACACGGTTTTTCAAGAACATATTTACACCAATTCAAATTCTTAATTTGTCCAACGTCATCAAATGCCTTAGCAATCCTAAGATCAGCGGCTCTGTTAGAAGTAGGAGCTAAAAATGAGGATACTGCATGCATAACAAAGAGTAGCTTAAACTCATCTCCACCTTGACCTAAAGTAGGTATCCTATCCTCTAACAAATTAAGTGGAATTTGGTCATTTTCATCTGTCAACCCAAAATTCAACCTCCAATTATGTTTGAAAACAAAGTCAGGATTATTTTTATTAGAAGATCGAGGTATCTCCTCAACATTTTTGGGGTTCAAAGGAAGATAAAACACATCATACACATCATACTCAGTCACCACAAACTCCTTACTATTATCAATTGAAAACATGCAGCTACCACAGTCAAAACAATCAATTAGCCACCTATACATACTAGTAGGATTCCTTTTCAACTATAATGATAACAACCCTCCAAAGCCAACTTCATTCACAGAAATTTTTTGATCATCAGTAAACTTAGACATCATGTCAACCAATTGCAAAGGCCTACATTTAGTTTTAAATGGCCGCAATCTACAAAATAGAAATAAAAATGCATAGTCACACAAACATGCATGTTGAATCTAACTTTTTAAGAACACTCCAAAGTAAACAAAGTTACTTACGTAGGTACATCACCACCAGCTTCACCAGCTTCAACTATTGATTTCT